TCCTTTTTTCGGAGCGGAGCCGTCCTTGCCGCTCGGCTCCTGAGGCAGATGACCTGGTGGCAGCTGGCTGTGAGCATGGCCGGGCCGCTCCTGGCTTGGGAAGAGAGCGCCGTAGCCTCAGGCCGTGAGCGGTATTCCCGAGGGGCAGGGGAAGGCAGCGGGCGGGACGTGCTGGGCAGGGACCCTGGAAGGGTCCGGGGCGTGCAGCATCTTCAGCCCCAACACTTGGGTAGGAAGCTTTCTGGACCTGCGTGGTCAGCGTCTGTGTTTTGTTTAAATCTGGCTAGAGGTTGTTTCCAGGGTGTGCGTCGTGAACGCTTGGCAGTTTTGTTTCAGCTGGTCTGAAGGCAGTCCGTAGTGAAAGCTTGCCTTTCTCCGTGCTGAAGTGGGAAGTTTCCATTTCTTTCTCTCTTCTCACCGTGTGTGTCCGTAATGATCTTGGGATTACAAAAATATAACGTGTGGGAAAAGGACTCTGTAAATAACAGCTATAGTTGTCCCTGAGTGCCATTATGCTTTAGATGGTGGTGAACTGGCCCTCATTGGACCTCTGACTTCCCAAGGGCCATGATGTGCCTGGTAGCGTAACAATTGAGGACTGGTATGTCAGTGTTTACTTCAATTTTAGGGTAATGCCTTTTTCTGCTTTGTAGAGTCTTTTTCAGACTCATTCTGAAAAAAACTTAGTGACACCAGATGTCGTCATGTATAGTTTTGACAGAAAAGGATACGTGGATCGGAATAGCAGTTGTGAAAACCGTTTTGCAGAAGTTTAGGCGTGAAAAGAAAAGCAAACTATGAAATAGATGTGCGGGTTTTCTTTATTATAATGCATTTAAAGAGTCCTCTGATGCAAAGTATATTTGATAAGTGGTTATAGTGACTTTAGAAAATATAAAAAGTTTTTTACAAGGAAACTAGTTGCAGAGCATTGTGGCAGAATTCTGACTGAGATTACAGTAGGCCCTTTACTCTGAGGGGAGAAAACAAAAAAGGCAATTTCTTTTGGGGCTTTCAGGCATAACCACAGTTTATAGCTCTTGGGTATTGTGTGGTTGGTGGTTTGTTTTTTTTTGTTTTTTTTTTTTTTTGCACTTTAATACTAAGCATGTACAAACTGAGGCCTGAGAAAGAAGTTTTGCTGCAGGCATTTCATCTTGAGCTGTGATTTTTGGGAAGGCCGTTTTGCAGATAAGTTAGATCTGATACTTCGGTTTCATCTGGCTGCTAGTGAAGTAGTTGATCTAATTCTGTATGTGAAATATTAATGAAAATGATTAAAACAGGAATTAAGACAGGTATGGAAGTGCCTCAAAGCATGATAGTGTAGCAGGGTGAAAGTGGGACAGTAGCTGTCTGGAGGAAGGTATTCGTGGAACTCCTCATGAATAGGTGTTAAGACTGATCTTATTTAAAGATGTGTTTAGTTAAAGTGTGTTAGTAAAGAAGACAACACATTACATACACTGTTATGCAAGAAGATAATGTGAAGAAATTAGTGTAAGAGATAAAATTAGGTCAAGAAAAGTGTACTGTAGTTTGTTTTAGGAATAGGGGAAGAGATGGGCATTTGGAAGTGATAGGGCGGGGAGAGGGTGAATATAGCAGTTGCTGGAAAAGGCAGTTATCACTCCAGTGCTTTTTAGTATACATTTCAAATAGGGAAGTGCTGACGTCACTGCACAGATCACTAGTATGGGTTTGTGTTGCTGTTCTCATCAGACACGTTTAACTGAGGGTGTATTGCTGAACTGTGAAATGAAGGGATACCAGGTTCCAAGAAATTATATTTATACTGTGGAGACTAAAATTCTGGTTGTTTAAACTCTGTTTATTTAAATTCTATTTATTTAAACTCTATTAAAGCAAAGACTGGATACAGGGTGGATTTGGGTACTTGGGTGTTTTGGTTTTGAACATGCCAGGGGAGAGGGAATAACATTACAGAAGGGGAATACTGTGCCCTTGTACTTCATTTAGGCGTTAGTAAATGGTTCTAAACTGGTCACTAATTATTAGAGAACAGGAGAAATAACTGACTTTTAAAGCAATCCGGAGCTGGAACAGCTTTCTCTACCACTTCATATATTTTTTTCTTTATCTTCCTTACTCTTGACCACCTAAAATAATTCAAATTCTGAGGACTGCTTGACAGAAAAGGTATTTTCAGTTAACTCCTGTGATTCCCATGAAGTTGTCTTCATTTTTGTTTACCTATGGGGAAAAAATGCAGAAGTACTACAGCATTAATTGTGAACATATTCTTCTGTCAGTGCAGCCTTGGGTCTGAGGGATGTGTTAGTGGAGGAAATAACAGGCAGTCTGTGACAGCCTGTTCTTGCAGCTGTTCTTATCCAGTCAAAACTTTTTTTTTTAATCTGGATATGAGTATAGCAAAGCCAGCGCTTCAATGCACGTAGCTCTAAACGTTGGTACCGTATCTCATGCATGTGTTGCCAGTGGTAAGCAGAAGTTTGTTAGAAGTGTAGGGCAGCTGAGGCCGGTGGCAGCGCTCCTCCTGGAGGCCTTTGCTGTGTGACAGCGGTGCTGACTTCTCCCCGCAGTGGCCCGCGGCCGGCCCGGCCCTGGCGCGCAGCCTGCACTTCACGCTCCACGGGAAGAGGAACGCCTCCGCCAAGGTCTCCGATGCGGTATGTCTGCACTCCTGCCTGTCTGGTAACAGGTTAGGGAATGCACAGAATGCTCGAGAGACGTGGAATATTTGTGGTCATAACAAACCCATTTATGTTTCCAGATTTCTACCCAGTATCCTGTAGTGGACCATGAATTTGATGCAGTTGTTGTGGGTGCAGGAGGAGCGGGGCTGCGGGCTGCTTTTGGTTTGTCAGAAGCTGGATTTAATACAGCATGTGTCACAAAGCTGTTTCCCACCAGATCTCATACTGTTGCTGCACAGGTGAGAAATGCAGTAGCACGAATGTTTAGAAAAATGCCTGCTTTCAGAAAGCTGATTTGGATATAGAATCACAGAATCATTAAGGTTGGAAAAGTCCCCTAAGACTGAAGTCTAACCATCAGCCAAACAATACCATAACCACTAAACCATATCCTGAAGTACCATGTCCATATGTTTTTTTGAAAACCTCCAGGGATGGTGACTCCACCACCTCCCTGTGCAGCCTGTTCCAATGCCTCACTACTCTTTCAGTGAAGAAATTCTTCCTAATATCCAACCTAAACCTCCCCTGGTGGAACTTGAGCCCATTTCCTCTTGTCGTATCACTAGTGACTTGGGAGAAGAGACCAACACCCACCTCACTACAGCCTCTTTTCAGGGAGTTGTAGAGGGCAAGAAGTTCTCCCTCAGTGTCCTTTTTCTCTAACCCCAGTTCCCTCAGCTGCTCCTCATAAAACATGTTCCCCAGACCGACCCTTCACAAGCTTCATTGCCCTTCTCTGAACCTGCTCCAGCACCTCAGTGTCATTCTTGTACCGTGCTGCCCAAAACTAAACGCAGTGCTCGATATGCACATGAACGCCATGTTTCAGGGCCGTGCTTCCTTTTATAGAGGTTGCATATGAAACTGTTTTGGAAGGCGATATATGGTTAGATCCTATTGAGAGCTTTTTCAGTGCCTTCAGTGTAACTTTGCAATTCGTTGTGCTGTGTAAAAGAGAACGAGGCAAGAGCCTTTGTGGAAGTGGTAAATGGCACAGGGTTTTCACAGCCATGTTAAATCTGACTCTATTGTGTTTCCTGTGTGCAGAGGCATAAATGGTATGGGATTTTTTAACAGAAATGAGGAGAACCTACTAAAACTGTATTTCAGCAATTTAATTCCAGGAAAATGGGTGTTCACTTTCAGGGCGGGATCAATGCTGCTCTGGGAAACATGGAGGACGATAACTGGAGGTGGCACTTCTACGACACGGTGAAGGGCTCTGACTGGCTGGGCGACCAGGACGCCATACACTACATGACGGAGCAAGCCCCGGCTGCGGTGATAGAGGTGAGGGCTTGGTGTCCGCTCCGAGCGTGTCAGACGTGGACTGGCTTCCAGAGGGGTCACCTTATCAGGAACCTAGTACATCCTTTTTTGGATTGTTACGGACCAGGGTTTCTGATGCTTGTTTTTGGTTTCAACAGCTGGAAAACTACGGGATGCCCTTCAGCAGGTCCGAGGAAGGAAAGATCTATCAGCGTGCGTTCGGGGGACAGAGTCTTCAGTTTGGCAAAGGAGGACAGGCTCACAGGTGTTGTTGCGTTGCAGACAGGACAGGACACTCCCTGTTACACACTCTGTATGGCAGGGTAAGCAGCTGTGAAGTAAACTTGGTCTGGGTGTTTGTATTTGCGGTTAATGATTTTTTTCTTTCCACCTTGGAGTTGAGGGGATTGGAGTAATCAACAAAAAAAAAATCCAAACAAAGCCTCCAAATGATATAGCCACTCACATAGGAATGAGGAATCCAAGGGGATGACTGGTTAGAATTCTGGATTTCCTTCCGTCCTGAGACAATGTGGAGGGCAAAGCCTAGGAGACACTTGGGTTTTGTCAGGAGTATGCAGAAATAGAATAAATTGAAAGGTCATTGTAATGGCTCTCATGAAGACGACAGATGTTAATTAGGGTACAGTGTTAGCCTTGTGCTCTTTAGTAATTCTTCACTGTTAATACTTTTGTGTCCATTAACTTGACACAAAAAGAATTTCTGTAAACTTTCCCCAAAAAAATTTAAAAAAAAAAAAAAAAAGACCCAGCAGCATTGGGGAACTCTGCAAAGAGGTACAATGCAGCATTTCTTCCCCTCCCTCCCCTCATCCTCAAACAGGGAGCAGGGGGAAATGAGTATGCGCGAGGGCTTGCTGGGCATTTCTGAGCTGGCTCTGTGGCAAATGACGGGTGTTCCAGTGTCTGTTCCTATCCATCCTGCAAACCACAACTGGAGAAAAATTGGAGGTTTTTTTTTTCAAACGGTAGTAAGCTACTTGCATGAAACCTGAAATTCAGTACCTAGTAGCTAATGTTTTTTTATGTACTTAGTAGCTAGCTAATTGCTCTCCTTGAGGTTCACGCTGTATATGCATACTGCAATGGAACTGCTCAGTGCTGCCAAACCCCGGCCTGATGCCTGAGGGTGTCTGAGTATTTGGTTTGCTGCCCGCTGCCTCTGCTGGCACTCCAGGCTCCCGGGGATGTTTTCTGCCTCTGCCAGAGGTTAGGGAAAACATGCTTGTGCATGTAGCAAGCACTGCAGCTGACTAAAGTGTTGCCAAACATACAGGAAAACAACAATGCTCAGTGACTAGCTATGGCTTTGCAGAGTTAAGTGGCTTGGTAACTACTTGTGTCTCTTTAAGCTGGAACGGATTACTTAGCAAATTCTTATAAAGATTTGTGAGGAAACCAACTTCCCTGACAGTTGGTGGAGGTGTTTTTTATCCTGACACTGTCCATATGCATTGACAGTTTTGAAGAGATGTTACTACAATTTCTGGGTTTTTTCTTAAAGTTCCCTTTTTTCTTTTCCTCCAGTCTCTAAGATACGACACAAGCTACTTTGTAGAGTATTTTGCCTTGGACCTGCTTATGGAGAATGGTGAATGTCGTGGTGTTATTGCCCTGTGCATAGAAGATGGCACTATACACCGTTTCAGAGCAAAGAACACTGTCATTGCCACTGGGTAATGTAGTAGTTGTAAAAGAGGACAGAAACTTGAGAGTGCTACTGGTTGGAAGTCTGTGTGTTTGTACTTGTATTTGAATCCAGAGTGTGGGGTTGACATGCTGACTTGAAAAACATAATTTATATGTTCATCTTCTCCCACCTCTTTGGTCAAAAGCAAAGTAACTGAATTCAGTCATTCCGTCTGAAAGAATGCACATACTAATCTTGTGACTAAGTATATATCAAATATGACATCTAACTTTGAATTCTAGAACAATGACGTGAAGTTGGAATGTTTAAGAGCAGTATGGATGGTCCAGATGGTTTTATTTTTTTTTTCAAACATGCTTTTTAAAGCAGATATGGTTGCAGTACTACCGACGTGTGTGTCTGTATCTGTAGGGTTCTCAGTTTCCTGCAGGAAATGTCTTTTTTTCAAAATTCTAGAGAAGCTACTACATTCAGATACCAACATTGTAAGTCTAACTCTTGGAGGATAAAATTATCAGAAGATGAGCGTACCTGAACATTACTTGGTTGCAAAAGTTTGTATATGTTTTAGAATCCTGTATGCGTTAGTCTTTTGGTGCTTATGGCTGTCTCCTGTCTCAGTATGCAAAATACTTATAAATGTATCTGTCAAAGAAAAATATTTAGTTTGATGGCCTATGTAATTTGGCTTTGTTCAAGTCCAGGCTGTTTTCATACTTGCATTCTTGTTTTGCAGACAGCATAGCTGAGTGGTATGTTCCAGTGACTTTTGCATTTTTTTACTTTTTTTTTTCCCCTGCTCATTCTGTGAACTTGTGTGTTCTGTAGTGGGTACGGCCGCACTTACTTCAGCTGTACATCTGCTCATACAAGTACTGGTGATGGCACTGCTATGGTCACACGAGCTGGGCTTCCTTGCCAGGACTTAGAATTTGTACAGTTTCACCCTACAGGTACAGAATACAAAGTAATACTTGGAAACATCATTTTTAATTAGTTGAACGGATTTTGTTGTAATTGTTTTAAAATGTGCTCAGGTCAGTTTGCACTTTACTGCAGCACTTCATTAGTCGCTTGTGACAGGTGTTCAGACTCGTGTACAGCTGCTGTTGAATATAAATCTGAGAGTAAGACTTAAAACTAGAGAAAGGTCTCCCCTGTCCTAATTTCAAGACTTGCATTAAATATTTTGAGGTGCTGTCTTTACAATACTAACAGGTTTTATGAATTCCAAGCTGAAATCGCTTCACCTCTTAAACTTGCTTTTCCTTTTGTCTTTAAAATACTGAAGGATTTGGTGTTAGATACAGGAGCAAGGGTATAGATGCAAATATTAGGGAATTATGTATTAAAATCTTTAGTTGAAGTAAAGGTATATATTTAGGACTGTGGTTTTGTAGCACAAGATCAATATCTAAACTGTGGACAACAGTGATCACAAACTAAAAAGTGTTTTTTTTGTGGCTAATTAAATGCTGAGTTCTAACTTCTGATAAGTGATTTTTTTAATTGTTCACTTGATTTTACAATGTTGTTATATCATAGAGATCCAACATTCATTAAGCAGTCTTGAGGGACAGTTCTAGTGGTATGATAGAGTGGAATAAAGTCTACCCCTGTGACTTAGTTGCCCTATTTTAAGAAGAGCTTGTGTATTCAGTCCGAGTTATCCTAATTAGGAAGCTGGCTAGAGAATACCTCATTTGATGGCATTTTCTTTTTGACAGGTATCTATGGAGCCGGCTGCCTTATAACGGAAGGATGTCGTGGGGAGGGAGGTATCCTAATTAACAGCCAGGGTGAAAGATTCATGGAGAGATACGCGCCTGTTGCCAAGGATCTGGCTTCCAGGGACGTGGTGTCTCGATCTATGACCATAGAGATCCGTGAAGGAAGGTTAGTTACATACTCGTAAAGAAGCTGCAGAATAAATAGTTAATCATACTAGGCACTACACAGTGGAGTAGTTCATTTGATAAACACCTGATAATTCAAGGGAGTGAGCTTTAATTAGCCTTAGCTGAGCACTGCATGTATGGCAGAAATGTCGCTTGTTAATTCGTAATGATCCTGCAAGGGCACACACGAGGTTAGGAGTCCCCTGACTGAACTCAGTGCACCTAGAGACAGTTGCTCAAACAAGTTTAATGTATGTGATTCAAAAAGAAAATGTTTTTTTTCCACTAATGAAACAAATGAGGTTAGAAATGTTACTGGTGATTGCAGAATTCCTGCTATGTATTCTGGTGTTGGCTTTTTTTGTAGGGGTTGTGGTCCTGAAAAAGACCATGTGTACTTGCAATTGCACCACCTGCCACCACAGCAGCTGGCAACCCGTCTGCCGGGAATCTCGGAGACAGCAATGATATTTGCTGGAGTGGATGTCACTAAGGAGCCTATTCCCGTTCTGCCTACAGTGCATTACAATATGGGAGGTATTCCTACTAACTACAAAGGACAGGTAAGAAATGGATATCACTTCTAGTATTATTTTACATCATAATAAAAGGAAAAGATTTTTCCAAATATTAAAGCATTTATGATGTTTTTCATAAATGTAAAGATGATGAATAACATTCATAATAATAATAATACTAAAATAATGATGTCACAGTACTCAAAACATACAATCTGGTTGGTTTGTTTTAAAAAAATTGAGAACTGTGTTCTGGTCCACTGGGAGGTGGGAGTTCCAGGAAACATCTAAAATCGTTACTGTCATGTCTGAAAGCAATTCTCTCGTTATCAGCTGAGGATAGTACAGTGGAACAAAGGTCAGCCTAGGGCTCTGTTACAGTCTATAACTCCAGTTAGTGTACAGTAATTCTCTGTTCCTTGTGTAATCTCTACACTAAAGCAGATTCCTCCAACTTGTACTAGTTAGAAGTCAATGTGATGGTGTCGGCTGAATTTTTCAGTGTATTGTACTTACTAGTTTTTTGATGTAAAATTTTGCTTCAGGAAGGTGTGCAGATGAGCCTTTCTTCACATGCTTTTCTGATTTGCTGCGGCACTGTGATGAAACAGAGGCATGTGTTCTTCAACAGCATAGCTAATGAAATCTTGGGTTTTAGTGCCATCTGTTTTTATGTAGTCTTGACACCCTTTAGGACTAAGGTATTTATGTTTTAGAGATGGAGAACTTCAGATTGCTGTTTCATCCTGATGTGCATATGGCGTTTGCACTGTTCTAAAGTGTTTAAGAAATGCTTGTTAACTGACTGTCTGAAACGCCAGGTGATCACACACGTGAATGGAGAGGATAAAGTGGTTCCTGGATTATATGCTTGTGGAGAAGCAGCCTCTGCATCTGTCCATGGCGCAAATCGGCTCGGGGCAAACTCGCTCCTGGATCTGGTGGTCTTTGGTCGCGCCTGTGCCCTTACGATTGCAGAGACCTGCAAGCCTGGTAGGTCTCGCTTCTCTAGAGACCTTGGCATTTGTGATTTAATTTCTGCCCAACAAAGAGTTGTTGCTACCTCATTGAAATTCTGGCTCTTACTTGTTGGCAAAGGCAGAAATCGGTGTTTGTGTTTTTTTTAGATGTGTTCTTTGGTATGCAAATGCTTGATGTGAACGTTTGCTTTGTGAAGCGATCTCTTTGAAACTAGAATTGGGTTAATGCTATGGGCAAAAGCAGCTGAGATTTTTCAGAAACTATCAAAGAGAATAATGAATATGAAGACTCACTTCTCTACATCTTCCACTGCATCTTCTACATAGACATGCCATCTGTCCTGTACTTGGCACTTCTGTATAGTGGAATCTGCTGCCACTGTGTGGTGTATTGCACATGCCAGTGGCAAGAGATAGATACTAAATATTCAAACATCTTATTCCCTATGTATGGGTTATCACTACTAAACATTATTTTTAAAAAATTTGGTTCAGCGACAGTTGCTGAGCTGAGAAAACAAACAAACCTCCCCACAACCTCAACAGAATAGTTAGTTAGTTCAACAGAAGGCAGTTGCATTGCCAGGGCAGCCAAAATCTGGAGGTAGTCATCTCTTTTCTCCTTACTTAGTGTCCAAATTAATAAGACGGTTTGGTTTTTCATTCTGACTGCACAAAGTGCACAGAGTGATGATTCCTCTTGGAATTGGCTTAGATGTAGTAGTGCCTGTTGGCTCTGGCTTTGTCCAAACATTTGTTTGGATCTTTCAGTGGCTCCTTTGAGTTTGAAGTTGAAGGAAGGTGTTTTAATTAGTCTGAACACAAAGCTACAGACAAGGTGAAGTGTGCTGGTGAGGTGAAGTGTTACACAGTAACAGATGTGCTCTGGTACTAGGGGCAAGATGCAGAGCTCCTGTGTCACTACTAAACTTACTGACTAGTCCCTGGCCCCTTACAGATCAAAGAGAGGGTGGCAGGTTTGGAGGTGGGGAGACAAGGAAATTATAGGAGAAGGTGGTAAGGAGCCATAAGCTTAATATTATATATTAAGATCAGAAGAATTTGCATGAAGTGCTGTTTCTAAGGAATTAACAGCAGAATTTGGCCAAACCATTAAGTTCTTGAGTAATAGTCGCAGGAAAGAATGTGATTGATACATTCCACTGAGAACTCTTATTTTTTTTATGGATACTATTAGTTGGGAGTTCAAGGAAGTTATAGTTAACCTGTACCTCAGAGGAAGAAAATCTGACTTAGTAGTAGCTAGTCTATGAAACTGGCAGAAACCAAACCCAAGCTTGACTTACTAAACTTACTGAAACTTTCCTACTAGGAGAGCCAATTCCCTCCATTAAACCAAATGCTGGTGAAGAGTCAGTTGCTAATCTTGACAAGTTAAGATTTGCTAATGGAACCATAAGAACTTCAGAAGTGCGACTTAACATGCAGAAGGTAAGCTTGGTGGTGCCCTCGGGTGTAAGGTGGGAGAAGCTGCCAGCAGCAGGGGTGGTGTGGTCCCTCCGAAAGTACACTTTGTGACTGGATTTGCAGAAATAGAAAGCAGTGTGAGGAGGTATTCTGTGCCCAGCAAAGGCTGTGTCAGCCTTAGTTTCTTCTTCCCTTCATTGGTTATTCCTCTTGGGTGGTTTACGTGATGTATAACAGAGCAGAGCTTCCTCTGTCTGGAGAAAAAACAGAAGGATGTTTTTTCTTCAGGCAGCAGATATGTTTGAAGTCAAAACAGCTCTATATCAAGCTCTGTTGGAACTAACCAAGTTATGTAGAATATTATGCATATGTAGCATATGAAACTGATTTTATTTTATTATCTTGCAGGCAATGCAAAACCACGCAGCTGTGTTTCGTACTGGCTCTGTCCTCCAAGAAGGCTGTGAGAAACTTAGCCAAATTTATAGTGATCTGGCTCATCTAAAGACATTTGACAGAGGTAAATTGGTAGCAAAGAATACACCTTGGCCAGAGTACCCTCTGTGAAAAGTGGTGTGAGCTTTATTATTTTTTCTTCTGTACCCCCTTTTACATGTTTCTTAAAACGTTGGCTAAAGACTTTGACCAATTTGAATCTTTCACAATATTTTGTAGAGCCCTACTTCCTAAACATGATAATCAGTAAAGTACTTGATCTTACTGGTCATTTCTGGTTGCATACCCTTTGAAAGAAGCAGAGTCTGAAATCACATTTAACTATATAAGGTACTAACTGCTGTTATCAGAACATGATGTGAAATTGTTCAGATACCAAGATGAATTTTGTAAAAACCTCCTGAAAAGGTCAGGGAGTTGCGAAAAGGTGGCAAGACTGTTCATAGGCTGAACACGCAGTTGTCATTTTCCAGTTGAGCAGGTGGTCCTGCAAACAGGTACTGCCATGTCCTGCAGTATGTCTTAGGAGACCTTGGTTAAGTACAACTAGTGATGTGCCTTTTGTCCACTCATGTTGTGTGCTTCTCTCAAACTACTGCTATTGGACATGTATGCCAAAACAAAGTAGAACTGACTTTCTGGGACAGCTCTCCCCAAACATCTAGGAAAGTGTCACAATAGCTTAGAGTGTAGGGATTGAAATGGAGATATATTGCCATAAGTGAACTTGGGTCAACCTTGTAGATACTTAAGTGAAGAGCCACCTTGTATAAGGGCTTTTTTTCCTTTCTGAGGGTGGGAAGAAAGGGAAAGCCCTGCTCTCTGGATCTGCTAGGGAACTTCTTAGAGCTACCATCTAGCCGTATCTTGTGATCTCAAATGAGGTATGGGGACTGAGTTGTAGGTATGCTATAAAGGAGGCAGGAATCTGTGGTGTAATTTTGTCTCAGTAGTACACATGTAACAGGGACACCTGGAAGAACTACTGAATCTTGAAGATTCATTAACAATTGTTAATATGTAGGAGTCATTACTGAGTCTTGCAGGCAACAGTGAGTAATTCAGTTTTGCAGAGCACTGTGACTGCAGTAGGTAGAGCATGGGCTAGTTAGATTCTGAATATCAGCAATAGGTCAAAAGTAAATTGAACAACTTGTTTGTAGAACATCATCTATAACATTTTCATATCTTACTAGGTATTGTGTGGAACACTGACTTGGTGGAGACCCTCGAGCTGCAGAACCTGATGCTTTGTGCTCTGCAAACCATTTATGGTGCTGAGGCCCGCAAGGAGTCCCGAGGTGCTCATGCCAGAGAGGACTATAAGGTATCAACATTTTCTGTGACCTGGATGTGGGATTGAATTTCTTTGCTGATGCATCCTCAGATGGATTATTTAAAAGTTGTAATTTCTTACAAAGTAAAGTCTTCAGTCTTGAGTTAAGATTAGTGTAGTATTTGTCTGGGGTCCCATCTGCTGTGTTTTATTTGTTCTTTTTTGCTATATATTACGTGTTACATTTGTTATATGTTATTTATATGAAATAATATATTCTTTTTTATTATATAACATAATATATACATTATATAAAACATATATATTTGTTATATAAAATGACCAATACATGCAACACAAGGTAACAATCTTGAGAGAAGAGTTATTCCGTGTATGCATCCAAGTGATCAGAGAGGTCTCAGCCAGGGCTGTAGTAAAAATAAGGTCATGGATGTGTGAACAGGACTTAATTGTTCTCTGCAAAGAATGCTGGCTTAAAGCCCTTGTTAAGCCTCAGTGTTCAAAATTTGACATGGGCAGTGTTCAGATAAAGCTTGCTGGCTATTAGGAGAGACGCTGTGTTACAGCTGTAACTGGAATGCCTCTGATCGTGTGGCTGTGGAGTGGTTTGCAGGTGTAATTCCTGGGCTGTCCTAACCTGCTTCTCTCCTCAGTTACGGATAGACGAGTTTGACTATTCTAAGCCGCTCCAGGGCCAGCAGCGGAAGCCGTTTGAAGAGCACTGGAGGAAGCACACCCTTTCCTATGTGGATATCCCATCTGGGAAGGTATGTTGAGCCTGGGGCCTCAGGGTCCTTTTCACTGCCAACAGGCAGCTCTTGATACCATGATAACGCTGCAAATGATTGTCAGTGTCTGAGGTACCTGATATAGATTAGTGTAGTTAAGAAAAAAAGGAAAGAATTGAACAATTATTCTGTTTTACAGTAGGTATAACTGTGGAACTGTGGAAAGTTCCTGTTAATCTTTGGGAAGCTATTTGAGCTGGAATTGTTTTTTAATCTCATATCAGGCGAGTTGAAAAGCTTTTTTCCTCTCAAGATGGCAGAACCTGTTGTTGGTCTTCAGCATAAAGTTTTTTGTGGTATTTCAAAGATAGAAGTGCAATCTGAACCTGTAAGAGTCTTGACTGTTTTTTGTATCCCGTTCTCTGAATCTTTGTTTCCTCTCCATCAGTTCCAGCTTCATGGAATCTAGTTTGAGGACAAGTGAGAACACTTCACTTCCTGAATAGCTGCTGGAGATGGAAAGCTGGAGTTAGAGTTCTGTCTCCTGACTGACCCGCTGGGGTCTCCATCTCCAGGACTTTCCTAGCTTAAAGAACTAGGAACGAAAAATCTGAGCCAAAACTTTTGTACAAAAGGCCTTTAAAAATTAGCAGTCACTTTAGATACCATTTTGGGTCAGGCTTTGCTTTTAAGAAGGTCAGTGGTAACTTGGTGGAACTTAAATGTTGCGTGTGGGTTACTAACTGTGCACTTTCTGTGGAAGGAAAAGAATAATGGAGAAATCAGCTTACTCCAGTGAAGTCACTGGGTTAACTAGGCATTCAGTCATTCCTATTAGCTAGGCTGTCTTGTTTCGATAGAAGAGGTTGTTTGTCTTCAAGTTCTTTACTCTCTTACTTTAGGTTACCTTGAAATACAGACCTGTGATTGACAGAACGTTGAACGAAGAAGACTGCTCAAGTGTGCCACCTGCTATTCGCTCCTACTAGTCCTTAGGTGTCCCTGGCCACCCCCCAGGGCGCTGGCGAATCCCTAGAGTGCTGCTGCTGTCAGCTCATGGCCAGTGCTGAGTGGCCGTTGCTCCAGCTGGCATTCTGCAGTGGAGCACTGCACAACGATGCAAATGGAATGTGGCACAGCTTCTGTTCTTTCTCCAGGCTGTCCAAAGTGACAGGGAAAACACAAAATGTGTCTAAATAAAGTGATTAGAAGTCTTGTAGTTGTATTTGTTTGAATATGCCATTATGTATATAATTACAATGCTTTTATTTTGTATGTATAGTTATTTCCATATTTTGATGACAAGAAATGCATTGCAATAGTTTTAGCCAGGATTGAAATGCTGGATTTTATGATACGGGGACTTGGAATTGTGTGTCATAATTGCTGATTGTAAGTAGTATGAAGGAAAAGAAAATGATGCAGTAGTAACTACAACTTTGTTTTTTTTCTAAAGCTAAAATTGCAAAAGTTGTCATAGTCTTGTTTTATTGGAGGAAACAAGATACTTGTACTCTGACTGCTGCCTCTGAAATATACCAGGAACAGAATATAATCTTGATAGCTAAACTCTACTATCTCTGGAACTTCAGAAGATGGTTTTTTTGTGGCATGTGTATTTCCTAAACTGTTTCTCTCAGAGGAACCAGGCAGCAGCGTTGCAGAAGACTCGCCTAAATATTAGAGCTTACCAGACTCAAGCTCAGTGTGCTTTAGTGCCGAGGTGTAACTTGTAGGAGCATCAGCAGAGCAGCATCCAGTTCTTGGAGGGCTGAAGTGTAACTATACAGACTGCAATTGAATGGGGTGTTTCTTAATTTTAACTTGTTTGCTCAACTGCTGAATGTTGTTGGAAAAAAAAATGCATGTTAGAAAAACTGAAATGTTGGAACGTTGCTTATGGTGGATGGGAAAACGGAATATAATATATCTATTTCACTCTAGTAGCGTTTCTGTGCCTTGCACGGGGGAAGCTGGGACCGGACAGGCAGAAGCGCAGCATGTGGGAGCAGGGTTGTCGCCCTGCCTGGGCTTTTATAGCGGAAGCCGAAGGCTGCGGCGGGGCGGGGAGTGACCTCCGATAGGTCTTCAAAGCGGTGACGATGAGGCAGAATGGCCAATAACCGGCCCCGTCGGTGCCTGGGCCGGAACCTTCCCCGCTAGCCCCCGCGCCGCGGGGGCGTACGGACGGGA